GTCAAAATAAAAATTTATGGTTGAAAAAAATAATCTAAGATAGGACGTCCTTTATTGATGTTGTAATAATAAGATTTGGATAAAATGAATAAATTTGACTGATTTATTAAAAGATTTGTCAAGTATAATAATAGAGTCTATTCGAATAAGTTGAAAATAAATTTTTTATTTAAAAAAAAAAAAAATTCGAAGTTGAATAAATATTATATCGATAAAATATATAAATATACATAAATACATGTGATAAGCTTCGCTTCAATAAAAATACACATTTTCATTCTTTCCATTTTTAGATGTTAACCTTCCATTCTGATCGATATTGTTTGTATTTAATTATTTATTTAAATGATGGTGGAGTTATCTATAAGAATATTATTTAGAGAAAAAAAAAAATTAAATTAAATTAAATATTTGAATAATATTTACTATATTTTCTTCAATATTAAGACGTCGAGTCCATTCGATTAATGTTGGTGTATCAAGTAATACTTGATTAAATTGTCTTTTATATTGATCAGGATCAACAGATGGAATAATAGTTCTTGTATAACGACGTACGACAACAACTTTTGGTTGATCATATACAATAATCGTTGTTTTAGGTTTTCGTAAAACTTTTGATGTTGTATCATAATATGGAGAATTATAATATTGATCTGTCATTGTTTCAACCATATGTTTATTATTTGATTTATCTATATAATAAGAATATTATTTCATATATATTGAAAATGATAATAAAAAAAAAACAAAAATAAATCATTTTTTGACACAATTTGCGTCAATTTTAATTTTAATCGAATAAACAGATCATTTTAGATGATATGTATGTATACGGAAAGATATTGTTAAAATCGATGAATTATATTTATAAAGATAGATCCATCTAGTTATTTATAAATATTAATTGACCACTAAACTATGAAAATGATATATTTCGATAATGATGTTATTGTTGAAAACTAAAAATTAAACAGCCATTACATACATATATATATACATATATATTGGAGAGAGAATGGGTGTCAGCAGGTGGTAAATGTCAAAATTGCATAATAAAATAAAACGCAAATGAATAATATAAAATGAAATGATGCATAACAGTGGTGAATCTTGAATATTTATCTATAGTTTTAATATTATTTATATGTATATGTTTTTCACATGATATCATTTATTTCTATCATATTGAGAGTTGATTTATTATGTTTATATTTTATATAGAATGACAATCATTTATTTGAATCGGAAATGATGATCAAAACATCATGAAAATGAAAAGTAATTATTTTTTTACATTTGTATGTTAAGTGTAAACAGCGTGGAAACAAATATAGAAAAAAAAAGAAGATTCTTTTACCTTTCTATAAAAGCATTATTTCATGACTTTTTTGTTTTTACTGTTTGTCATCAAATACACTTTTATTGCGTTTTTTGATTCATAATTATTTTAGAATGAGCTATAATGTGTTTTTTTTTGCGTTTGTAAAATAATAATCATTTACAGTATTTGAATATTTCTATGAATTCATAACAAGATAAGTAAAGAACCGAAAAATTTGCCTTTAGATCCAACAACTCTACTATGAACCAAACATATTCATTCATATTGATTTCAAAAATTGAATTTTTTTCATCAAAGATAAAAAATGTTGGAATATGATTGAATCAATATTTTTTTTGAAAATTATCCTATGAAAATCAAAATTCGAGTTCATTTTAGACTTTACATTGGATAATTAAACTATCAATCAAACGCTACAAGTTTTTCGTAAAGATAAATTTAATCGCTCGAACAACTTGACGAGATACGACATTCATCATAGATTCGAGAATCGTTTTCTTATTTTCTTTGAATCAGATATCGTTTTTCTGAAATATCGAGATTCGTGCTTCGTACTGCATTTCGTATTACTGATGTGAGGATTTCTTAGTCAAAAGAGAATAACTCTTCAACTTCGAATATTTTACTTTATAAATTAAATATAATTTCCCTAATTATATCTATTCAATTTCAATCTATGTATATGAGATCTCGTATAATTTATTAAAATAATACTTAAGGAAATTCTTTATACTTTTATATATGCAGGATTGCTCTTATAGAGATGAAAAGGAATCAAAATTCCAACAAGTTTTCAATTATTTTTAAAAAACGTTTTTGATCATTTTGAAAAGTGCACATATGGTTTGTCGTAGAATGAAGAAACTATTCCAGAGTATTTGTTTTTACATTAGTTTTAATTAAACATTTGATTATTTACGCTAGAATTCATTTGTTCTTATCTAAGAAAATTTGATTTTTACTCCTTAGGTAATTCAATTTTTTTTCTTGAAAAGTAAGCTGTTGTCATAATCTCATTCTTTTCTTAATTAGTTGAACAATCGAATCATGCATAAAAAACAGGTATTAGACAATAGAAAGACGTCCACAAAGTATTTACATTAAGAGTACCAATACTATCTCTCGTCACTCGACAATATATGACGTATGTTGATAATGAACAAACGATAAATATAAAATCATTAGATATGACATCTATTGTTTGTTTGCCGTTTTTTATTCTTTAGATGAAATGATTTGTGTAGAAACTTCACTAATTATACACACAAACGAATGAACTGGTCAACTTCTAACTTTTAATAATAATAATAATCGGATAGAAACTGAATAAAGAACAAATAGGAACAAGTCAAATAAACACTAGCACACTAGAAAAGAGAGAAAAAAAGAAATTCTATTCGAAATACTAAAATAAATAAGATAAAAATCCTTCTCTAATCATCGATTACATATACTGAATTCACTGAAGATGTTGTACATTATTTTCATGTATATGCAAAGAATTGTGTTAGAATGTTACCAACAGTAATATTAATTAATTAAATTATTGCTAAAAGTTCATATATACGTTTAGATATATCAGAAGAATGATCATTATCAAGAGAAATTGTTTTATTGAATTTAATTGAATATTCACGACCATCACCATCAAGTGATGATAGTATAACATCAATAATTTATTTTACTCAAAGACGTAATTTGTCAAGACCAATGTGAGTTGAAATAAATGATTCATAAAAAAAAAGTTTTGCTGAAGGTTATTATTTAAAAGAAATAAGTTCTAAAAACTCTGAATATCAATCCTTAAAATTAGAATATCCAGTTCATAACATTACATTAAGAAATGTCTAACTGAAAGTGTCTATTATCATTTTTGTAGTAAAGCAGCAAACTCTATTGGATATAGCCAAACAAAATAGTAATTTAACTAATTTACTTTCAACAAATGATCAACTCAATAGATTTATCTTTTTAAATTTTAAATTAAATTAAATCATATATCCTTGTTTCTTTTGAATTACTATCTATATATCATAAACCATTATAAATAGTAATTATAAATTCAACATTAATATCTCTCTCATAAAGATCATTGTTATCATGAGGTTCAAGTGATACTTCATATTATATTATCGAATATCGTGATATATGCTTAACGGTTATTGAATTCTCATAAAAAAAAATTTTTTTTCATCAAAATCAATATAATTTTCGTATAAAAAAATTAACTTACATTTCAATTTTATTCTTTTCTTGTTCATGCTTCATTGTGAAATGTTTTGAAATAAATGGTGACATTGAATCATGTTATATTTTAATTAAAATAAATGTATACTATATATATATGACACTAGTCAATAGTTTCTGAATAACATTCGATAAGAACAATATAGAGAAGTGTGGCGCTTACCATTCAAAAAAAAGGTTTTCAGTGACTTACAACATGACAAAAAAATCATGTAATTTACATTATTTTAATGAAATTTTTTTCCTGAGAAAAGCGATACCATGAAATAAAAAAAATCCTTTTTTTGATGATGAAACAGACGTATTCTTTAATGTTTTCGAAATTTATTGATGAAAATCTGGATTTCAATTCATGAAAATGATGATTGTTACATGAAAATCATGTAAAATTAATCATTAAAAATGTACGAAACTAACATGATGAGAAGGATGAAAAAGAAAGATCTTCAATTCATTTTCTTTGATGTAACTACGTAGTCAGGTGGATAATAACACCCACCTGACGTTGCGTAGTTTTACCAGACTTTTCAAAAAATCTCGACTAGTTGCTCTTCAAGAACCTCAGCGTTGAAGTTTTCTAAAGTTCATTTACTCTACAATCAAGTTAAATGACACATACATAAAAAATTAAAAATACTTAAGAGTAAGTGCCTGAGAGATTCAGACATCGACGATGGAGGTAGATCTTAGAATTCGCTGATTTTCTGATATGTTATAGAGGATAGCGAGTTTAGTATTTCCTGAAATTTACTGCTTCCATGTTCCGTTGATTTCCGGTGTTTTTCTGCGGGAAACCGGCGATTTTTCCGAGTCTTTCCTGCCGATTCCTGCAGTATCCGGTAACCGAAACGATCGACCTGGGAAATATATATATTCAATATCTCTTCATCTTTGAATTTAGGTAAGATACACAAAAAATAAAAATGGGATCGTTACTGATGGAACACCCTTTATTTTCTACAAACACATAGAATTCTCAATTCGTAAATATTTCCTCAAATCAGTTCATTTTGATTTATATGATATTCTTGCCTTCTGATTAAAACAGTCTTCTAGTTTCATTGAAAAGGTATCATAATATTAGCATGTACAAAATTACATAGGCAGATTGAAGCAGTCTAGGGTGTGGGTATGAGAGTGGACAGAAAAAGATCAAGCCTCGTACTCTAGTTTGACTCGCATATGTTCAATTACCATACGAAACCTTCTATTATTAGGTAAACAGACTTTAGTAAACGAAAATTAATACTGGCAAATCTTTATTTGTAATATTAATCATTGTAAGTGAAAGAAAATAAAGGACGACTTTTTATTCATTATATAATGGATCAGTGTTTACTGCAAAAGTGATCTAGAAATTTAGACAATGTTTTGAACAAAACAAAAACACACAATATTATTACAAAATCTAATACATGATTAATTTATTTCTACCAATCCACATAGATAGTTCTGGTGCATTTCCATGAGTACATCGAATTCGAAATATAAAGTTTAATCTAGATGATTCTTGTGCAAATAAAGTAAAAAAATAATTATGACCACCTAATGGTGGTAAATAAACTTTCATAGTTGATAATTTTTTTAATTGATTTAATAAAAACAATACATCATCTGGTTCAATAAGATAACATATAAGTTGTTTAATATTTGAAAAAATTTCACAAAATTTCTTCAATTCATTACGACTATTGAATGAAGGTTGAAATATATTCGATTGATTAAGATTATTGAATGATAAATTAAATTGTTTATCTAGATGTAATTTTTTAATCATTTTATTTAAATATTTACATAATTCATCATCATTGAATAATAATTTTAAATTTGTTGAATTGATTGTAATCATTGATAATTTTGGTGATTCTTTTAATATTTCTAATAATTCTCTTGATGATATTATTTTCTCATACATAAACATATTTAAATGTTTTAAATGAGATAAATTAACAATTATTTTTAAATAATAAATATCAATTGGATTTTGATTCACTTCTGATGTAAATAATATTAATGAATCGACATTTGAAAAATGATATTGACATTTATCTGTTATAATTTTATCATCTAATGTTAGATAGATTACTTTATCAAATGTATTCGAATTATTAATTATTTTATTAGAAAATATTTTCATATTCAATTCTAATTTATATCGATTTAATAAATAAGGTATTGTATAAATAGATGCTAAATGTTTTTCAAATGAATATTCAGTATACCATTGATATTGTTTACACCAAAAATCATCTTGAAAACGTTCAAACATTTTCAAAATAATTTTATCATTATGTTTACGATCACAACTAAATTTAAATTTGAAAATATTCAAATAAGATAATGAAGATTGAATTAAATTTTTCCATTTATAAGCATCAATCATATTAATATTGTTCTTTGAATGTATTGTTAAATTTTTTAAATTAGGTATCTGTTTTACAAACATTTCAAAATCTTCAAAATTATACTTAAATAAACCAATAATCAATTGTTTTAGATGAATACCATTATATTTATTAATAAGTGAATTATCATCCTTTATCGAATGATTATATCGAGAAATACATTCAACATTTAGATATTTTAACATAGGAAAATATTTAAATAAATAATATAATAAATGTTCTAAAGAACAAGTATGAATTGTTAAATTTATAATATTTGAAGTATTATTAATACATGTTTGAACAGAATTAAGTGATAATATTGATAATGTTCGTAGATTAAACATTGGAAGAACATCTAATATTTCATTATCTTCAAACGTATGACAAATCATATGAAAAGAGATAAGTTCAGATAATTGTGGTAATGTTATTTTCAAATTTTGTATATTTTTTTTTTCAACATCAACTAATGTTAATGATCGAAGATAAGAAAATTCTTTGAATGAAAATATTGATAAAAATGCATGAATTTGACCACATGTATTTTTATTTGATAATTTTAATGAATATATTTGATTTTTGATTTCGGGATTTAATTTTATTTTTTTACAAAATTTATCAAATATTTTTTTTTGTACATTTTCAAAATTGAGTTGAAATCGAATATTTCGAATAAATTTAGAAAAACGATCATTTAATTGATCAAATGAATAAAATATATCAAATACATTCAGATATTCAAAGAATATAAATAAAATTTCATTTGGTAACAGTTCAAATTTCATTATGCTTTGTATGTCGCTCATGATCAACTGAATGAAACATTTTTTTGGGTAATATGTGTTTTATCCTTATATATGAAAGAAAGAAACAAAACAATTATGACTCATACGATGAGAACAAAGAAATTAGTCTGCCCAATTGCTTCGCTATTTGTTCTCTAGATTGAAAAAAAAAACAAGTTTTTGTAATTTTATGTTCAAATGTATATTGTTAGATCAAAAGATTTTGAAAATGTTCCCAATAGCGAGAAATTTTTAATCATCAACAGATGACATCTGCATTGAATGTTTATTAGTCTTTACTGAACTGATGCTATAGAAATGATTGACAAGTTGAAATTGTGCTTGCTGTCCAATTGAAATATGTAGAAAGCACCGATTGAATAGAATCGAGTTTTGTTGGTTCGAGTTCGATTCTATTTACGATCACTTTTAGAAAACCATTTCGGGTTCGGTTCATTTTCGATCTCTGCATTGGACTATAAATAGAAATTTTTCTTTATAAGAAATGGAAGAAAAAGTAATCAAGTGCTCACTACGAATGACTTTTACTGTTATGCAGAGCAGCTGCCTAATCCGACTTATAATATAAATGGAGATCGGAAAAAAGAATACAGCACTCATGTTAGCAAAAAGAATAAAACTTTTTCTTCGCCACTTATCGTTAGTTATAAAACATAAATCATGGAAACTTTACTGTAAAGTTAGGCAAAAATTTTGCTTCTTTTTACCATTTATCATTTACTATAAACGCTATAAATGATGCAGACTTTACTGTAAAGTTAGGGAAAATTTTTTATTTTATTTTTTCCTAACTTTATGGTAAAGTCATCACCATCTATCGCTTTTATCATATATGATAAATGGCACAAAAAAGCAAAACTTTCGCCTAACTTTACAGTAAGGTCTTCATCATTTACAGCTTTTATATTAATTTATATAAATGGGTGCATGTATATTTTATTTTCTTAGTTATTTTCGAAATGATTAAGTACTTCTGAAAGTGCATTTATATTATAATTCGAATTAGGCATCTCATGCCTGATATAGGTCTTCTCTTCATCCATACCCACCTTACATGCATCCAAACTCACAGCCAAATTAAAAGATGGATGAATATTTTGGAAATCATTTTGATAGGATTAAAACAGAGATCTGCGGTTTTCACGATTTAAAATAGGAAATGAAACTGCATCGAATCTGGAACATTAGATTTTTCTGATAAGCTTTGTCAGGACCACATGCCAAGTTTTTTTAACAATCGAGGCTTCTTAATAGGTTTCGAAGGCTGATTTTTCGTCAAAAACTAAAAAAACACGTCAATTTTTCGTGAAAAATCTGCCGAAAACGCTCAGTAAAATGTTAATAACTAGGGTGTGGGTGTGAGCCAGAGATATCCATCGCGGTTGAAAATCTCCGCTGCCGCGCCGCGACGGCTGATAAAAAAACATTGCTGTGCCGCTGCCGCGATAGTTTTCAAAAACGTATTTCTAATTTCACTGCTGCGACTGTATTTGACCAGAAATATTGGTACTGGTTCATCAGATTCATTCATTCTCAGAGTGTTTCATTTGTAAACACTGAAATTCTGTTAAATTTATGCAGTTTTTTAATGTCCTCGAAAGAAAGAATGCGGGAGCGCTGCCATGGACATCTCTGGTGTGGGGTGGATATGAATGTGAGTAAAATGAATTTTCGTCGCTCACTTTACACTCACAGCCACACCCACCCACACACCCAAGTAACGACGACATGAAATTAAATCATTTCAATATTCAGTTTTCTTGTTTTGTAATAGTATAATTATTTCTTACACGAATAGAATAGAAAGACCAATTACTCTAAAAGACGTTTTAAAAACTCATTAAATAGAAAATGGCTGAAATTATACATTCCCCACACCGTACTCCATATATTCTTTAATACTTCACGGAACTGTTTATTATTTTGGCCAATACTAATTCTAAAATTTCAAGCCACTCTAGGAAAAGAATCAAAGAAACAGTATTCTATCGAAGTGTTAGATTTGCTTGAATTTCTTTCTTAATCGTGGTCGGCGTTAAATTCCTTTGTTATGTGAAATTGGGTGTGGGTGTGGGTGTGTGTGGGTGTGTGTGGGTGTGTGTGGATGTGGTGTGGATGTGGTGTGGGTGTGGGTGGGTGGGTGTGTGTGGGTGTGGGTGTGGGGTGTGACTGTGGCTGTGTGGATGTGGGTGTGGGTGCGAGTGCGAGTGGATTATGAATCGAATCTTCACCCACACCCAAACCCACATCCACACACCCACACCGACACCCACACCCCACACCCATACCGCACACCCACCCCAAAGATATAGAATATATATGAACTTTCTTTATTGAATAAATCGTAATATTTCGACATCTATTCATATTAGGCGTCATCATCAGACAGATAGAAAAAATTCTTTTTGCTTTTTTTTATGTTATAAAAGAATAATTATAATTACTTATTTCATTTATCTGTTTAAATGTCTCAACAAAATTAAAACTTGATCATTAATTTCTACTTAAAGAAAAAAAAGAACAATAGATTGATTCGTATTGTTCTATGTTATTCATGTTAATGAACATGTTTAGTTTCATAGAATATGATCAATCATATAGGAATATAATTTTATTAAATATAGAACAAAATAAAAATTAAAACCAAAATATAATCCGTATATCTGTCTAATGATGATGCCTGATGTGAGTAGATGTCGAAATATTACGATCTATTAAATAAAGAAAGTTTATATCTATATATATAATATTCAGTGTGTGTGTGTCTGTGCCGGGTCAACGGTTAAGGGTTAATAGTCATATAAGACTGTAAGGGGAAGCTGCCAAGGGCTATTATATGGAGGTAGCCAGGTCCTCATGGACTATCCTCTAGAGGTACCCATCGGTCCTCAAGGGCTGTTATATGGGGAGGGTGGGGGGTACCCATAGATTCTCAAGGGCTATTAGATGGAGGTATCCATAGGCCCTCAAGGTCTATTATATGAGGGCGCCCATGGATCCTCAAGGGCCCTCCTATAGGATGCCCATAGACCCTGAAGGATGTCAAACAATTTAGGGATAAGGTTGCAAGTGGTAGAAGGGATATAAGGCTATAAGGACATAAGGCTGCATGGACTTTAAAAATATGTGCGATAGACGAGTATGAGGCCGGAAGACTTCAATCTATATACATAATATCGCGTATCTGTATATGTCTTTTATCAGATCAAAAGTTAAACGTCTGAAATCAATCGTTAAAGAATAAACCAGCCGTGCAGTATGCACGGGTTCTCGCTAGTTTATTTTATGTTTTTGACTGCATTTTGTTTCTTTACATCCACAAAAACAAGTTGATCCAGTTGTGAATGACTTGATTTTCTAGAGAATATATCGCCAGGCAGCATGTCGATCTCACAAATCATGAATTTCCTCCTCAGACATGTTCTCATAGCCCCATCGTCGTTTGTTCTCTTCGCTGCTTAGGCCACATATATCGGAGCGTTGGGCATCTATCCCACGAGACGCTGACTCCACACTGGCAAGCACAACTGATGATTGTGTAGGTCCATATAGACGATCACGCCGTCGATTTTCCGCTCGCAGGCCAAAGAAAAGAATCACAACATTGGTTAGACCGAATACGCAGAAACCCAGATTGGCGACATGACCAAGAATAAAGCGAGGTGCATCTTGCGTGCGATAGAGTTGTCCGCTAATCACTCCACCGATGTTGCCCACAGAAATCATGAATGCCAACGCGGTGGCTCGTTTTGTTTGTGGACTAGTGTTGCCTGATAAAAAAGCAATACTAGTGGATATGCATGGGGCGAGACTACCAACTGCAAGAATCACAGCGAGATACTTGATAATCGCGTGTTCAACTGCTATCAGAATAATATAAGCAACTATGCTGATGGAAAACCAAAAAATGATGAAAATACTGCGACGAGTATATTGGTCAGACAGATAGGCCGTGATCATCATAGTCAATACAGCAAATACATAGGGCGGCGCACTGAGTAGTTGGGCCTGATAGTTGACGAAACCAAGATTCTGAATGATGGTTGGTGAGAAAAACGCCAGAGAATAGGAAGGAACACATATGCTGATAAAGCACAATGCCCAAACATAGATTGTCCATGTCGATAGAGCGGCCAAGACTTGATTCCAGCTGAAGTGCTCGTTAGCTCCACTTCCTGCGCCGGTTTGTAGTCGAGCCATGACACGCTTGCATTCGGACTCGGTTAGAAATTTCGGTCGATCAGAAGGAAAATCGTTAATAAGAAAGAATGCCAGTACTCCAACAACTACTGTTATGATGCCTTCGAGGTAGAAGATCCAACGCCAACCGTCTTGTCCACCAACACCGGCCATCTTTGTGATACCATAAGCAAGCACACCACCGATGGCGCCAGCAAGAGTACCACCTGTGAAAAGAATACTTACACGCCACGAGAGCTCACATCTCTTGTACCAACTTGAGAGATAGAAATTGGCACCTACATAGAACGAATCATTGGCAGATAGATCTTAACTGACTCGCCTTCCCTATACCTGGAGAAAGACCTGATTCAAAAGCACCCAACAATAGGCGACACACAAGAAGATCTCTATACGATTTTACTAGACCCATCAGCGTCATCACGATGCCCCATGCCACCATGATCATTGGTATCCAACGACTAGGTCGAAGTCGTTTCAGTATCAGATTCGAGGGAATCTCGAAGATAACGTAGGTGACGAAGAACACACTCAGACATGCGTTATATTGATTACTGCTCAGGTTTAACGACACTGTTAGACCGTCGAGTTTTGCCTGGCCAATATTTACTCGATCGAGGATACTCAGGAAAAAGAGCAATGTCATGGTTGGAAGCAGGTGCCAGTCCATTTTGCGAAGAAACTTTTTGTCTTCTGGATCATCTTTCTTGTCATCAGCGACAACAACATTTACTTCTTGTATGACAGACTTTGTGTTGACAGAATCTCTCTTGACAGAT